TTTTATATTATGAAATAAAGCATTTATTGGCATTAAAAGTTTTCCAAATTTATTTGTCGCTAGGCCTACCTCGGGCACAACGAGGTTCCCAAAGTAAGACATGAATTTACATACTGCAAATATTTCAGGATACTCACTGACTTGTTACCTTTTTTGTTTTTTTTCTTCTTATTTTTATTATTCCCATCCCTTTAGGTTGGTGAAATCATACTGACCTCGTTAGCATACCACACCAGATCTAGAGGCCCTCCACCTCTTCCCCCTCCAAGCAACACAAAAGGTAGATGAAAAGCAAAAATGGATAACTTAAGTGGAATCTGAAAGGAGAATGTTAAAAATGCAGAAACCTTAGATGGTCGTAGTACTCTGGCCCCAAATGATCTAGTCTTGAGACTGGAGCAAAAGATACTGGAATTGCAAGGAGAACTTGAGCAGGTTTGCAACTTGGAAAACATGTCACTCACCCTCAATGTCCCCGACATCCACTAATTAAACACAAAGAAACCAGCACCTCCTCAGAACATACAAAACCAAAATCCTCCCGCACCAAATCAATATACAACTCCACTGCCAATACCAACTCCACCACAACATCACCATCAACCAATTCAGTACCCACCAACCACCACTTACCACACTCCCCAAAACACACCACAACCCATTTCCGATCCCCAAAACTCCACCAATGACCATCATTACACCCAAGTCCCTGGCACCCATCAAAGCAACCCTATATATGTGGAAACTGTACCTCACTTTACCCAACCAATCTCATATACACTGAAATCATCTGAGAAGGACCTGCTCATTAAAAAACATGGCTGAAGAGCTCAAGAAGTTAACAAGTTGAGTTCAAGGTGTTGAAGGCGACAAAGGAATAATAGGTTTAAACTATGAAGACCTATGCATACAGCCAAATGTAGAATTGCTAGAGGGGTACAAACCTCCTAAGTTTGAGATGTTCGACAGCACAGGTGATCCTAGGGCTCATCTAAGGACCTATTGTGACAAGCTTATTGGGGTCGGGAAAGTTGAAAAGATTCAGATGAAGCTCTTTATGAGGAGTCTTAATGGGGATGCTTTGTCTTGGTATATTAGCCAAAATCCTAAGAAATGGTCCAATTGGGTAAGTATGGCATCAGATTTCATAGACCGATTCAGGTTCAACACAGAGAACATATTAGATGTTTTCTACATTCAGAACCTTAAGAAGAAACCTACTGAGACTTTCCGTGAATATGCTACTCGTTGAGAGGTTGATGGTTATCGAAAATCACAAATTCTATGACATCATCAAACTTGGAGAAAGAATTGAAGAAGGAATCAAGAGCGTGATGGTAACAAACTTTGAGGCGCTAAAAGCCACAAATAAGGCATTATAATCAGGTAGAATATCAAAGAAGAGAGATGTTGGGGCAGTAATGGTGGCCCAGGGCCCAAAATCTCCACTTATATATCAAACACCTACTCCCATATATCAAGCACCTCCACCCACATACCAAGCATCACCGCCTACATATTATCCTTCATCTCCTAGATATTCCCAACCAGCTACTGTCTATCACACCTATAACTCCCAACCATCCCACTTCCAATCACCACCAGTTTGCCAAAATTATCCAAGACCAAGACCCAACTTCGACTGCAAGCCACCCAGACAATACACTGCCATTGCTGAGACCATCGACCAATTGTATGAAAGGTTGAAAGTCATGGGTTACATCACTCTTGTTCCCGCTATCGCATTAGAAAATCCATACCAATGGGTCAATCCGAACAAAATGTGTGCGTGCTATTCCTGTATGAAAGGCACACCACTGCTGAGTGCCGAACATTGAAGGATAAGATCCAGACATTAATTAACAACAAGGTCATACAAGCGAAGGAAGCCGCACCTAACGTCCGCAACAATCCCTTCTTGATTATAGAGGTGATAGTGTACATGTGATAGAGACGAATGAAGAATGGGACCACCCTGAGAGGTTGATCGGGCTTATTCGAGAAGGCGATAACTTTAAAGTTGTAGTCATACTTACTCCAATTATGGTACATACTCAGGCACCAATCGAGGTGGAGGTAACTGCATTAGTTCCATTCGAGGTGGAGGTGGCTCCGCCTACAGCCACCCCCGCTCCATTTGAAGTAGAAGTGGTAACACCTTTCACCATGACAGTATCAACCACACCCCCATTCAACTCAAAAGCAATACACTAGGATTATGTTGCCGAGGCTTGGTGAAAAGGGAAGGCCAAGGTAGAGGAATCTGACGCCGCTCAAGGAATGACTAGAACTGGAAGAGTCTATACACCGGAACATTTGGGAGGATCAAGTAAGGATTCCACTATTAGGCAGCCTATCATTGAGACCGGGCCAGATGACTCGTGGAGGAATGTACAAGCAAAGGAGTATTCTGTTGTTAACCATCTGAACAAAGTCCCTGCTCAGATATCTATCTTGTCATTATTACAGAATTTAAAGGCATACAAGAACGCTTTGATGAAAGTGCTGAGCGAGGCTTATGTACCCGATAACATCACCGGCGGAGAAATAGCCAACATGGTAGGGCAAGTATTGGAAAGTCATAATATTATATTCCACGAAGATGAGCTACCACCTGAGGGGCTGAATCACAATCGAGCATTGCATTTATGGTACAATTTGAAGACAAGTTCATTGCCAAGGTCTTGGTTGATGGAGGTTCAAGCCTAAATATTTGTCCATTGGACACTCTGAAAAGGTTGGACAAAGGTTTCCATGAAGTACGGGTAGGAAGCATGAAGGTGAACACTTTCGATGGGTCCCAAAGGGCCACAATCGGGGAAATCAACCTTTACTTGTAGATGGGGCCTGTCACACCTCCTTTTTTACCGCCCGAGGGGGTATATAAGGGAGTGTTTCCAATTTAAGTGACATTATTCGAAATGGGATTATTTTATTTATTTAATCAAATTCGCCACTTGGAATAATTTATTTGGTGTCCCAGGTCACCGATTTATTTTTAAAATCCCAAATCGAGGACATTTTCAACTTTATTTAAAAGTCTACGAACCAGAAATTCTAGATAAGGAATTCTGTTAATCCGGGAGAAGGTGTTAGGTATTCCCGGGTTCCGTGGTTCTAGCATGGTCGCTTAGCAATTTATACTTGCTTAAATTGTTTAACTACTCATTTTAGGACCTATGTGCATTTATCCCTTTTACCGCTTTTATTTGCTTAAATGTTTGTAATTTTGAAATTATCTCAAAACGAGTCACGCGTATGTGTACTCATTTTATTTGGCGCGCCAAGAATCATGTCATGCGTACGTGTCCACAATTAATCACGCTTTATTAATATTAAGAAAGTTTGGTCAAAGTTGCGCGAACGCATAAATGTCACGCGAATATTTACATAATCACGATGATAGATTAAGTCGCACCTAAAGTATTTTCTACGGATATTCAGTTTTAAATCGGACTCATGTCACGCAAACGTGTACACAATCAACGATGATAAACGTCCTAAAGGTTTGCCTACCCAAATGTTAGCGGACCTAAGCATACCACTGGCGAACAAAGTAATAAAGCAAGAGTAAAGAAAAAATAATCCAAATAAGCTCAAATTACTATATATAAAAAACGTTTCCAAAATGCTCTTTAGATCCAAATCTTGAAGCCCAATATCATTTGTTCTTTCAATCCAACCCTGCGGTGTTTCGAACAATTCCGTTTTTTTATATTTATTAATAAAACCAATTCAAAACCTATCTAACTACATTTCCAATCCAGCAGCATCATCAAAAGAACAATTCAACATCAAGTCATGGAAATGTAGCAAACAAACCCAAATAACTAAGAAAAAGTAAAGCAAGCATGATATAGTCCATAAAAACATAAAGCAAACCTTCACAAATAATTAGAACAATAATATTAAGGAGGAAAAGAGAGATGGACCTTCAGAAAACTTTAACGATTATCCGTTTGGAAACACTAGCAAAACTCGATGCCGGGACTTGACAAAAATCGGAATAAGCCAACAGGAATTCGCATACCAAAACTCAAACATAGGGGAAACCTCGACTCCTCGAACGCAGACCAGATTTCAAGCATAATCCATTTTCATTTCACTTGCCTATTGAAGTCTAATTTTTGACTAAAAAAGAGAAGCTAATGTTGTTCTTGTGTGATTTTTTTGTTTGGAGTCCGACTGCCTTTTTTGTTTCTTTGGGTGGGTTGGAGTTTGATCTTTGGCTACTGTTTAGTTATCCACCGGATTTCTTGCCGGATATGTCACCCTCTGGTGCAACAGTGATACAGAAAAGAGAAAAACGACGGAGAAAGAAGAGCAGTAGTCGTCACTGGTTTTGGCTGAGCTCATCGAATTCAATAGAAGATCGTTGGAAGGTTGGAGATATGTTGTCCGGCATGTTTGGGTGGAAACGGGCGGCAGCTGTCAAGGTGTGGGAGGGTTGGTCGTTGGTTGTTTGCTGGTGGGTCTGGTTTTGGGTGTTCTTGGTGCTGCTTCAGGTCTAGGTCCCTTGGAGAAGAAGACGACGTGGGGGGGGGGTCTTTTCTTTGTATTTTTGCTGCGGATTTCTTAAAGGTCTAGGTCTTGGGTCTTTTTTATTTATTTTAGAAGTTAAGCATTATTTTATAGGGGTAGGAATTAGGTTAGTTCTTAAAGGACGATGGAGTGATGAGTTCGAGAGTCGAGTGAGGTTCCGTCGAGGCTCCAGTCCGCGGTCTTGTTATTACATCAAAATCAAAATGAAAAAGACTAACTAAACCTATCAGCTACGAGTTACAAGATTCCTATCTATAAATCTTCTGAAACTTGATCTTGAGTATTGGTTGGTTCTTCATGCGGACTCTGATATGAATCTTGACGCTTGTTAGCTGCAGGTACTGGTTCATTCCTTTCTCAACTTCTCGGATCAGAGCGGGACATGCAAAGTTTGTGACTTCATTCACGTCTTGAGCATTCCACAGCTTTTCTCTGCTTCTGCACTTTGAGTTCACTTCTTTTTTTTTTCTTTTTTTCTTTTATTCTGGATTGAGACTACTTGTTTTGATCGTCTCGAACACCGTGCCTTGAGGTAAAACCTGCTCAGACACCAAAACAAACAAACAAACAAAATTTTTCTGCCCAGTTTTCACTAGGAAAGTTTCATGAGTTATTGTAACAAAAATCTAAACTACTTCTTTATTGAAAGCAATAAAATCGGGATTGTGTATCCCTGAGAAAAAGTGATTAAGGAGTGGAGACCCTATATCTAAAATAAAATCAAATGGGGATCGGAGGCCCCAAGTTTGAAAGATTACCAGGTTATGCTGGAAAAATGACTAGGTTACGCTGTTAAGGTCCTTGGGTTATGCCAGGGAAGGTCATCAGGTTATGCTGAAAAAGGTCCTAGAGTTATGCCGGGGAGGTTCACGGGTTATGTTGGGAAAGTCATTGGGTTATGCCGAAAAAGAAAAAGGTCACCGGGTTATGCCGGGGAGGTCCACGGGTTATGTCGGGAAAGTCATCGAGTTATGCCGAAAAAAGAAAAAGGTCCTCGGGTTATGCCGTAAAAAAAAGGTCCTCGGGTTATGCCGGGGAGGTCCACAGGTTATGCATGAAAAGTCATCGGGTTATGCCGGAAAAGAAAAAAGTCCAAGGATTATGCTAGGGAGGTCCACGGGTTATGCCAGCAAAGTCATCGGGTTATACTGGAAAAGAAAAAAAAGGTTCTTGAGTTATGTCGGGGATGTCCGCGGGTTATGTCAGGAAAGTCAAGGGGTTATGCCGGAAAAGAAAAAATATCCTTGGGTTATGCAGGGGAGGTCCACGGGTTATGTCGGGAAAGTCATCGGGTTATGCTGGAAAATAATAAAAAAATAAAAAATAAAAAAATAAAAAGGTCCTCGGGTTATGCCAGGGAGGTTTACAGGTTATGTCGGAAAAGTCATCGGGTTATGCCGGAAAATAAAAAAGGTCCTCGGGTTATGCCGGGGAGGTCCACGGGTTATGCCAGGAAAGTCATTGGATTATGCCGGAAAAGAAAAAAGATCATCGGGTTATGCCGGGGATCAACTAGAGAGTGGAACCCTATAATAGAAAAGACTACCAGGTTATGCTGGGAGCGATTAGGGAATGAGACCCTATGTTGGGAAAATGTAGCTAGAGATTGGGATCCTAGGCTACCATTATTTTGATTTTTTTCATTATTTTTTTTAATAGAATGAGTAAATGCGAGAAAGAATTTTAGAGGGGACTTCCCTTTTTGGATTGTTGCTGCATAGCTATTTCTAGTCCTTACGTAGTTTCTTTTTGTTTGCACCTGCTTCTTGCAATGTTGCTTTGGATTGCACTTGTTTCTTGTTTTCAACAAAGAACAATTGTTAATTTGAAACGGTGGTTGGTTTTGTGGCCTTGATTGTTTCAATCACTTGATCTCGGCCCGGCTTCTTTGATGAAAATCTCAACTGTATTTGCTTGTTCCCTGAGGACCAATTTCATTTCATGCCCGGGAGAACCTCTGGTTTTTCCAGACTTTGCCATGACGGTTGATCGGTGGAACTCAACCTTATCGACTTTATTTTGCCTCTTTAGGCCTTTCCCTTCTGACTCTTTTTTTTTCTAACTTCGGAGCATTAGGAAACTTTTGGCTCCTCAAACTTTGTTGCAACGGCTAGTCGCGTAGGACTTAACCTTTTCCAACTTATTTCGCCTTCGTAGGCCTTCATTTCTGGATTTTTTCTTCTTACTTCAATTTCGGAGCATTTGGGGTACCTTGGCTTTTTCAAATCCTTGCCGGGATGGTTAGCCATGTGGGATCCAACCTTTTCAACTTCATTTTCCTTTATAGGAACTTCAATTTGATTTTCTCCTTCCAAGAGTTTTCAATTTCAAAACATTAGCCACCATGGCTCGTCAAAGTCGACTTGATGCCCTTGCCGAGGAGGGGTGTCTTCTTGCACATTAGCTTGTGTCAAATGAGAACCCGGTAAATTAGTCTTGACATCCTTTCTTTGTCTTAGTTTTGGAATAGAGTTAGACTGAAAGAGATTCAAAGAAAAACAAATAATAGAATGGACAATGAATTTAAACAAAAGGTATCCCTTTCTGGGAAAGAACATAAGGACTTATCTGGAGTACATGCGGACTTTAATGAACATGACATGTTTTTTGGACTGGATGCCTGATCTGTGCAAACCATCCGGCTCTTAGAAATTCATCACAACTTTTGCCTTGAAACTGAGAAACCTTTCCCAGGACTGCGTCAATGTCAATGGCTGAAAATCCTCTTTTCAATCAGGGGCGCCCTTTGCGGGTTTTCACCAGCTAACCTCTCTCATTTCTCTTCTCACCATTTCCTTATAGTGCTCTTTGTGAGTTTTCACTAACAAGACTCTCTCATTTTTCATTTCTTTGCTTAACATCGCCCCATGGTCTCTGTGTGAATTTTCACCAATAAGACTCTCTCATTTTATTTCTCTGCTTACTGTCGTCTCACGGTGCCCGTGTGGGTTTTCACCAATAAGACTCTCTCATTTTATTTCTCTCATTTTGATTGCATCGAATCCAAGTAGTTGTACTCTCTGATTCTTGAACATTCTCACCGATTGATCGGAAGGACTTGAACAGGATTTGGGAGGACTTAAATAGGATTTGGGTTAAAAAGAATTTGGATTGAATTACAACTTTGGAACCTTTCAGGCAAAACCATCGCCGAACCATTGTAACTTCTACCCCAGTTTCAACTTTTTTTGAAATTTGGATTTTTATTTTGGTGTGATTGTACCACCAGAGAGAGGCTGCCTATGTATCCTTTTGGAATCAAGTCGAATGTAGTTCAGGGATATTTTTGATGTTCTTCTGTTTTGTTTTCTTTTCTCTTTCTTTTTCCTCCCCCCCCCCCTTTCCTTTTTCATTTCATTTTCTTNTTTTCCCCCCCCCCCCCCCTTTCATTTTTCATTTCATTTTCTTTTGCCTTTTCTTCCCTTTTTTTTGTATCTTTCTTTTTCTTCTCCTTTTTCATTTTCATCATTTGTTTCATCTCATTTTTTTCATTTTTTTTCAATTCATTTTTTCAATTTTTTTTAAGTTCCAAAGAGGGTAATTAAAGAAGAGTAACTGGCTCAAAGGGCTTGCAAAGGGTGGATAGTGTTTGGGTAGCGAGAATTAAAGTTTTCGTCATCCCAGCCGGAGAATATTAATACTATATGGAGGATTAAACATAGTACCTTTTGACTGCATCTGCGTTGACAATAGTTTCAAGGACATTTCCTTCGATGTTTCCCAGGTACAACGCTCTCTTTGGCAGTACTCTTGTTAACTACTATATATGGATCTTTCCAATCTGGAGCCAATTTTCCTTTAGTTGTTCCAACTCTTTGTTTTATTTCCTTAAACTTATCTTCATTTCCATCTAATTCTTGATTCATTATTTCGAGGTCTGACAGCATTTCAGGATCTGAGCATGAAGTCCGCAAGCATGTCATGTTATTGAAATCTGCATTTAACAGAACTAAAAAGAGAATAAGAAAAATGACAAGATTAAGAAAAAAGGCATTCCTGGACAAAGAAATATTAATTTCATTTGATTTTTTGATTTTTTTTTAAGATAGAAGGGTTTAGATTGGAAAGTAAGACAATAAAGTAAAACATTCGGATCACACACTGAGATAATCCGGACGCAGAAAGGATAGCAAGATTGGCTACCGAGGCTCCCGTTTGATTAGGGAACTTTCAGGCTTGGCAACCATTTTTTGGCTTTTCTTCTGTCTCGGTAATGGCTGCAATAGCCTTTAATGCTGGATCAAATTCCTCATCTTCAAATATCATTACGACTACTGGCCCATTGGTGTGAGTAGGCAGAGGATTGTTCATCATATAGGGAGCCTCTTCATCCCGAAAAACAATTCTTCCAGCTTCAATCAAATCTTTAACTACCCTTTTGAGGGTCCAACAGTCCTCTGTACTGTGCCCCACTGCTCCAGAGTAGTACTCACATCTAGCATCAGCTCGGTGTGTTGGGGACTCGGGGTTCAGTCGATTCGGGGCCACTACCTACAATAGATCTAGCATGATTAGCTTTTGGAACAAGCTTGAATATGATTCACCAATAGGGGTGAACTTATTCTTTCTGAAAGGCTCTCTTGGGTGAGGATTGTACTGGGGAACATTTGGTTGGGATTATGTGGAGCTTGGTAAGGATGGGCATTTTTGGGAGGTGGAGCTCGATTTTGTGGATAATGTTGTGGCAGCGGGTAAAGTTGCGTGTTCATCACCGCATAGGGAGGCGGTGCCACGACATAAGAAACATCTTGAAGGAGATAATAGTGTGGTGGGACCATAGGAGGCACATACGATTGGACTGAATGACCTGTGGGCCCCCCTCGAGCTTGAAACCATCATGGCTGCTTCTTCTCTCCGGTTTCCATTTATCAAATCCTCTGAACCATTTTGAACATCTGGTGATATGGCTTTAAAAGCAGCATAACTCAAGATTTGACCCATTTTTAGCCCACTTTCTACCATCTCCCCAATTTTGATAGACTCAGCAAACGGCTTTCCCATAGTGGAAATCATATTATGGAAGTAGTCTGCCTCTTGGGCCTGCAGAAAGACCGTGACCATTTCAATTTCGTCCATTTGTGGCTTTACCCTGGCAGCTTGCTCACGCCATTTGACGGCATATTCGCGGAAGCTTTCCGCGGTTTTCTTTTTCAAATTGGACAAGGAGTTTCTGTCGGGAGCGATGTCCACATTATATTGGAACTGGCGGAAAAAATCTCGAGCCATATCTTCCCACACATGCCAATGGGTAATTTCTTGATCCGTATACCACTCAGAAGCGATTCCGGTGAGGTTTTCCCCAAAATAGGCCATGAGGTTTTCCCCAAAGTAGGTCATTAGCAACTCCTCTTTTCCACCAGCACCCCTCAACTGGTTAGTATCATTTCAGATGAGCGATCGAGTCTCCATGCCCGTCGTACTTTTCAAATTTTGGCATCTTGAAGCCAGTTGGCAAGTGGACATGGGGAAAAATACAAAGGTCAGAGTATAAGACACTCTTTTGGCCACTCAGACCTTGCATGTTTTTCAGGCTTTTTTG